CGAAAATACCAACGCTGTTGACGTTTGGAGAGTTTCAATTGTTCCTATTTTTAACACGCATACAAGAACTCAAAGAACTCTGGTCATGACTGTCACTTTTATGCATCAAAGTTTTCTCAGTTAACAGACGAGGTCTTGAAATTTGTTCAAGTTATTTTTAATCGAGCTGTGAAATGGAAATATCTCCCGGAAGAAATAGATTAGCAACAGAACAACAAATACGGCAAGACCAAGTTAAAGCAAAACTATCACTTAATAGACAAAGGTGTCTGAGTGCCTCACGTGAAAGGCTTGAACAAATAAAACTGGATTCTAAGAAACGTAGCAGTAAAGGAACTCATTAATGAAATGGTTCATTTTGTTCGGGAACTAACTTTGTCAGATAAATATTTTATTTATTTTGATGACTGAAATGATTAAGGAAAGTAATCATGAATTTGCTAGCTTAAGCTTATTTAGCTCCCTTCTCACTACAGATGGGACAGGAAATACATAAATAAATACACATTGATTATTATATGGTTTGATTATTATTAACTTAAATGATATTTTAGATATAAAAATTAGAATCGATCGAGTTCAAATTCCAAATTTGGTGACTGGATATTGACTATTCGGTTAAATAAATCTTTGTAAAAATAGAATTTATCAGAGAAAAATATAATTAAAATAAAAAAAAAAGGAATTTGTCTAAATTTTTGTAATTTTTTATTTAAGCTAGGACTATTGTTCCCATCTTTGTTGTTATTATCACAACATTTTGGTTTTTGTGCACTCCGGGCTTCATCAGGTCTTTGTCAATACAGGTAACAGTTCCAGTTTCTATTTAATATTGCTCAGAGTTTAAATACACACGGCACCGGCCCGGTAAGTAGACAAAGGTGTCTGAGTGTCTCACGTAAAAGGCTTGGACAAATAAAACTTCATTCTAAGAAACGTAGCTGTAAAGAAACTTTTTATTTTTATCTGTCTGATACTACAACTTATCCTATTATTATGAGTCGTTTTATTTGGATATTTTAAATAATTTATATTTTAGAGTCTTTTTATTTTAATATTTTAGATAATTCAATTTTTATTTTTAAAGTACGGAGAAGATTTACGAATTAACACAGACGACATAAATGCAGAGGAAGACGCAAAATACATTGGTCTAGATGACGCTATAAAATGACTGCATTTCCCGCCATTTAAAACGAAATGGTTTCTTTCAAAAATCTCCAGAAAGTATTCAGTAGAGTAAGGCAATCTGTATTAGACTAACACTTGAGCCCCTGTTTAATAAACTTGTACTCTGATATTCCTAGAATTAAATATATAAAATTCATTTATGATTACAAATCAAAATATTATTAAAATACAAATCTATCTATTTATCTATCCACACACACACACACACACACACACACACACACACACATATATATATATATATATATATATATACTGTTCAAACGTATATTGTTAATTATAATAGACAACGAATGTCTATTATATTTTATCATGAACCTTTCTAGGCGTTGTATAATGGCTTTAGTTTCAAGAGAAAATAAAGACAAAAACTGTCTAACACTTGGATATTTCTTTATTATATTCGTCGTCGATCTAAGCTTTCGGCTGACATGAGCGATCATCAGATTGGTTTTATGGAAATTACAACAGAGACGACATTCTGTTTTGTTTAGATAGAAGTTTGCTATGTGACGATAACGGTTGCGGGATAGCAGGCGCAGGTCGTAAATTCGTAATGCGCTTCTATGACGTCGTATATGACTACGTGAGAGAAAGAAATGTTATCAACAGAACCATATATTTAAATGCATTGTAATATGTTGTGATTAGTTTGAAATGTAATTTTGTTGAGTGTCGGTTGTTTTTCTTTAATGTAGATGGCCTCTAATATCTTCAGGTTCTTTTTACTGTGTGCATGTGTGTTTATTGTTGTGTTATCAACTAATAACTGTCTAATATTTTGTACATAGCTATGTTTTTCTAAGAACTAAATTAGAAGTAAATTTATGCGTGATGGAATCAATAAGTACATCAAGGAATGGAATTTTTTTTTATTAATATTAATTTCTAGTGTCAATTTGAGGGCGGAATGACTTTCAAATTTGTTTTTATGTTGTGTAATTTGATCAATATTTTTAGCTAAAATGTAAATGTCATCTATGTATCTTACATATATAGTCGTTTTAGGGGTTTATTAGTGTCATTAAGTATTTTATTTTTTAAATGTGCCATATAATAATTAGAAGAAAGGGGGCCTAAAGGAGATCCCATCGCGATAACGTTTATTTGAGTATAAATATTGCCTTAGGGGGTTATGAAAAGGTACTGGAGTGGTACATGCTGATAATAATTTTTTTTAAATAGTGAGTTTAATATTGATGGGTGGGGGAGAAGGGTGATTGAATACATCACGAATAATGATGTCAATCGTTTCCTGGTCGGAAACATTAGTAAATAAATTTTGTACATCCAAAGATGCGATTATTTGGTTGTTTAGTTTTTCAGTATGAAGAATTTGTACAAAATCGTTTGTAGAGTTAATACAGTATTTACTTAGGAGGTATGAAGTAATTAATTTATTAAGGGTTTTTGAAGGTAATATACTGCTCTAGGTGTTTATGAAATGATAGGTGAAAAAGAATGATTTTTTTTATCGATTTTTACATTTCCGTAAAAGTATCCAGGTTGATAGTCACCTATAATGTTTTGAAGTTTATAGGATCTTAGTTCAGCATTGTTAGCAGTAATAAGTTTATTGATATGGTTATTAAGTTGAAAGATGGTGATATTAGTTAACTTTTAAAATTTATTGTGATCGTCTAAAATGGCCTGTAATTTTGAGTGGTACTCATGTTTGTTTAAATAATGAAAGTATTAGTTTTATCAGCTCGTCGGATAACAATATTTTTGTTACTTTTTAGTTGTTTAGTTGCTTTTATTAAAGGAGTGTTTATAATTCCATTCGGATTTTTATGGTATCAATATTTAATAGATTCGGCTTTATGATCTGCTGCCTCTATACACTATATATATATATATATATATATATATATATATATATATATATGGTAAGGTCACATTTGGCGGCAAGGTCGACGACGAGGATCTAGACTAAACGCGAACAACCCCAAAAACTTCAACGGTGGAACAAGCTGATGACGATTACAACAGAACTCAACGGTTGGATGAACGGATGCAGAGGGCTACGCATGACGGACATGCTACAGAAGGCGCCACTCGAAATTATAACAGTCAGCGGAAGTCCGTTCATAACTGGATTCTGCATAATTCATTTCATATGTGCCGCAGAGGAACGTCATGAAATCAAGTGTGTGGATCACTTTCTGATAGGTTGAGGTTCACCTCAAGCAAATTCACGCCATTGGCACTTTCTTCTACTTTGATTTTCTTTCACCTACAACCAATTCTTGCAGAGCCAAACGGCGATAGGGAATTGTGGTGACGGGAGCAGGTTTTTGTAAAACAGAAAGCTTATAGACATAGACCTGAACCTTCACGTTGGCTGCGAATTTAGTCATCAACGCCATCATCATAAATGGAGCGACCAACAAAGAAGAAATTAAGTTCTTGGATACGAGATGAAGCCGACGATATATATATATATATATATATATATATATATATATATATATATATATATATATATATATATACACACACACACACACACACACAGGGTGTGATGGATAAATTGTTGCCATTTTATATTTGTAATTTCGAGCATGCGCCTTGTTTGTTTTTGATTTTGATGGCAGCACAGTATAGTAGGGTCAGTTGGGCACCGTTTGTGAGTAAAAGACAATCATGACATAATTCACTTCGCCAGAAATTTGGAAACGGCATAGTGCACTGCTTGGCATTCAAGCTCGAGGGTCTTCTATGAACATTTCAGAGTGTTTGAATGTCAATCTGAGAACAGTGCAGAAGATTCGGAATGAATTGGAGTAGTCCAATGGTGAGTACGAAGGTACGGCAGCTCGGAACACTCATTCGTTCTGATAAGGAAATAACTCCCAAATGTGTTGGTGAGTGCCTTAGAATCAACACAGAGGCCCACATCAAGTACCTTGAGAAGGTAGTGATGCTCTGGGTCAAAAGGGTCGTTGCTAAAACATCCTATGTTTAACAACAGGACTCTGCACCATGCTGCACAAGCGGGAGAACCCAGTCATGGCTATTAGACAATTTCTGCGACCACATCACCCCTTATATCTGGCCACCTATCTTCCCTGTCTGCAGCCCCCTTGAGGGTTATCTGTAGGGCGCAGTTGAGCGAGAGACCAACAAAACTTCTTGTAAGACCAAAGATGAACTGAAGGCAAGTATTATGGCAGCATTCACCAACTTAAGCAAAGAGACAGTCCAGAGGTCGTTTGGAGGCCGTGGTTGAAGCTAATGGCAATTTTATTGAATAAATTTACTCTTTATTATTTCAAGATATTTTGTGAAATTTTGATAAATATATGTTACAATGAGATATCAGTGTTATTTTAATTTCTGCTTAATTTAGGCGGCAATTTACCCATATATTGTTTGAATTATCAGTTTATTAATTTTTTCCTAAATGTTTCTTAACAAATGGTAGATTCGTTTTCTACGATGGCTTATGTTATATGGCGGGAAATATGGTCATAAAAACAGAATAAATGCCAGAATAAAGTTTGGGCAAATAAGAAAAAAATGAGGATGAAAACAAAGAATAAAAACTCTAAAGAGAAAGTAGAATTTTAAAGTTTTTATATGAATGATTAGACCATTGATGCTCACCGTAAAATCTGGAATTAATTACAAAAATAAAAATGAATATCCTGTATTAATTACGTAATTCTAAAAAAAAAAATAGGACAGTGGGACATAATGGGTTAAGAGCGGAAGTTGAATACATAAGGCAGTAAGATTATATAAAGAAAACAGTAGGCAAGTTTGAGAAGTGAATAAGGTGGAAGGAATATAAAGGAGGGTGGAGACTAAAGGTGAAGAGAAAGTGGGAGGAGAAAATTGAGAAGATATAAAGAAGGATTCGAAGTGAAAATTGGGAGGAGAAAAAAAATGAGAAATGGAGAAACAGACGAAGTGAAAGGGTGAGGAGAAAATTGAGAAGACATGAAAAAGGATACGAAGGGAAGGTTGGGGGAGAAAAATGAGAAATAAAGAAGGAGACCAAGGGAAAGGTGGGAGAGGAGAAAATTGAGAAGAGATGAAGGAGTCGAAGGGAAAGTTGGAGGAGAAAATGGAGAAGAGTCAAAAAAGGAGACGAAGGGATAGGGGGAAGGAGAAAATGGAGGAAAGTTGAAGGAAACGAAGAGAAAGTCTGACAAAATAAATGATGACCGTAGAACATTGCGAAAGAGAGACGCTAAGAAGAAAGAAGAAGAATTGATGAAAAAGGAAGGAATTGCATGAAGAAAAGCAGAGAAATAAGGAAAAGGAAGAATGAGAAGATAAAATGCCTAAGAAAAAGTACAGAAAAAAGAAAAGGAAGGGAGAAGAATATATATATACATAGAAGAAGAAAAACAACAACAACAACAACAAAAAGAAGAAGAAGATCAAGAACAAGAACAAAAAGAAGAAGAAGTAGAACAAGAAGAATATAGAAACCTTTACGAAATATGGAAGAAGCGATTCAGAAAATAAAAGGAAAAGATAAACTAGAAGAAGAATAGAAAAAAAATGTTGCAAAAAGATAGCAAAAAAAGATGAAGATAGCAACAAAAAAGATAGCAAAAAAGAAGATAGCAAAAAAGAAAATATCAAAAAAGAAAATAGCAAAAATGAAGAAGACAGTAAAAAAGAAAAAAATTAGCAAAAAAGAAAAAGATAGCAAAAAAAAAGAAGATAGTAAAAAAGAAAAAAATTAGCAAAAAATAAAAAGATAGCAAAAAAAAGATAGCAAAAAAGAAAAAAATAGCAAAAAAAAGAAGATAGCAAAAAAGATGAAGATAGCAAAATTTACAAAGAACAAGAAGTGGATCAGGAAATCAAAATAGTAAAAAGAAAATTAAATGTCGAAAATGGATAGTGTCAGAAAAATCGACGAAGAAGGAGATCGGACGAGAAAGAAGAAGAATAAAAGCCAAAGAAGAAAGACAAGGAAAAGACAAATTCAGTTTCAAAACAAACATTTTGAGGAAGTTGAATGAAGTAAAAGAGGCGAAGGTCATCGGTGTAAACAAATAGGTCATTAAAAAATGTAAACCTCCCACCCTCACTTGCACCCTCACTTGCACCCTCACCGTCACATCTGCAGGAACAAGAATGAAATTTATTTATTTATTTTTTGTGTGTTTAAGGGATGTACTAACATGGAAAGATGTCTCCTCAGCAAAAACTTCCTAATTTGTACGAATCCAGACAATGAGAGACACATTTAGCAGATGTGACCAATGAAATAGTTTTTCAGCAGAAGTGCAAATTTGGTCAAATATTCTTGCTTCTTTTTCAGTGTTCAATCAGCCGAAATTAGACATTTTTGCTTTTTTTTTTTTTGCTTTTTTTTTTTTTGCTTTAATCCTCAAAGCTTACCAGAAGCAAACAGAAGAAAGACATTGTCTTTGACGAAACGTTTATGCATAGATTGAAATAAAAAAGGAAAAGATTTATTTATTTAAATTATTTACATTCAGGCTACTATTTTACATTTTTGTTGTTATTATCTTTCTTTTATGCGCCGTTTCTTTTCAGGGCGTGCGTGTTCATGGCTCTCCACGACCTTCTATCCCTTGTGGCACTAAATCATATTTATTGAAACTATTTATATTCAGACTGTTGTTTTCATCATTGTTATTGATATCGCACAACATTTCGACTGTTGTGTCCACTGGTCTTCATCAGATGTATATCTATGTGGGTAACTTACAGGGAATTCTGTGTTGAACCCTTTATTTAATCTGAGATGGGGTTAGACTGATCTCGTTCCACTGTTCATGTCTTGGGATTTTTATGTAGTTCTTATTTTAGCACTTCTTTTTAATTATTTCTCGCCCATTTACATTGAGTTCAAGTACACATTGACCAGCCCAGGGATTGAATTCACAATTATTATTGAGTTCATGTGCAGTAGAATTAGAACAATCTATATATAGGGTTCAGTTTCTAATTCCCTGTAGATTACCCAGATCGATATACACCTGATGAAGGACACAACGGTCGAAAGGTTATGATAAAAGCACAACAGATGAAGAAAATAGTCCGGATTTAAGTTGTGTAAACAATAACTCCTTATTAACTCTCAGCCCCAAAATCTAGGCAAAAATTAAGCCATGTTTGATCCCTTTTTTATCCAGAAGATAGCAAAAAAAGAAGATAGCAAAAAAGAAAGAAACTCCTTGTTAACTACCCATTCCCCAAATCCAAACAGAAATTAAGCCATATTTGACACTTTTTTATCCAGATGATAGCAAAAAGAAGATAGCAAAAAAGATGAAAACAAAAAAGAAGATTGATAGCAAAAAAAAAAAAAAAAAACCCTTTTTTAACACCAAATCTAGACACATATTTAGCTATAGCTAAAAGAATATGGCAAAAAGGAGGTTGCAAAAAAAGAAAAGATATCAAAAAGAAGATAGGTAAAAAGAAAAAGATAGCAAAAAAAAAAGACAGCAAAAAAAAAAAGAAGATGAAAAAAAAGATAGCAAAAAGAAACTCCTTATCAACTCCCCATCTCCCAAATCCAGACAGAAATTAAGCCATATTTGACCCCTTTTTTATTCATCCTTGTTCATTTTCTGTCATCCAATTATGCATGCCCGTTATAACATTCCTTCAATCTATATTTTTATCATATATATATATATATATATATATATATATATATATATATGTGTGTGTGTGTGTGTGTGTGTGTGAGATAAACTATACTTTTATGATCTGAATGCTATTTTCAGTTCATAGGATTTATGTGTTGACACGACTTTATATATATGCTGATTAATGATGAATTATGGGTAACACTGCCTATTGTGTTATCCTAACGATTATTGAGTAGGCGGTAACGGTTATATTTCAAATTATTATAGAGGCTATTGACTAGGAATCATTGTGGATCCGAATGAGGTTATTTTGGGCTATTTTATAATCTTGTTTACTCAGCATTTATTATTGATTATTTTATTATTTGTTGATTATTATTATTATTATTATTATTATTATTATTATTATTATTATTATTATTATTACACTTACGTGCATATTCGTAGCTTATTAATTTGTTTAAACCTTGGGAACCGAGAAACTAAGAACACAAACATCTTTGACACATAGCAAAACAGAGCGACTCTTTCTAAACACGTATAGGATATTTAATAAACAACAGATTACACTAAGAATATCATAGATAATAAAGAAAACTGCATCTGTCTAAAACAATAAAATCCCAAACTGTAAATAATTGTAATTACCTTCAGGGATCAAAGTAAATTAATAAATAAACAATCAGTCCGTATCTCAAAATGTAAGCACGAAAACGAATTTTTATTACGTTACATAAAAAACTAAAAACGAATACATTTCAAAATATCGCCATGAATAATGCAAATGTATGCACTATATATAGCGCAATTAATTAGACAAAGCGAATATTTTAAACTAAAGAAATACTAAATTAAATGTTTATTATTATTAATTTTATTAATTATTATTAGTACTTCATCTCCTGATATCGCGCACTAAGATTGCAAAAACTAATGGCTTTAAAAACATTACCATCCAGCTGTTTTGTCGATCTTGAACTTTTTTTTTCCTTGCCGAAATACAATCTTTGTTCTACATACATATTCTTATGCTTATTCAATTATTGTCGAGCTGAGCCGTGAATCCCTCACCATGAGGAAGACGGATCAAATTCAACCTTGTGTTTCAACATGCTAGACAGAAATTTTCGGATTGGTTACATCAAGTTGCCGTCGTCTCCTTAGATTGACCGAGGCAAACACGACGTTTTGACACGCGTGATGTGTTTGGCCTGTTTATCGCACTGGCGCCGGAAGCAACACTTTTAAAAAAAATGTTTTCAAATCTCCAAGGATGTAAATAGAGCAACGAATCAAATTGCACCCAGTGATTCCTTTTGCAGATGTTTTGAAATGGAATTAATTCCCGCTGGGATGAAAACAGTGTTTATTCATGGAGAATTCAAGCAAATAATACCAGGAAATTCGCATAATTTTAATAATAATAATAATAATGGAAAAAGAAAATGGATAATAGTGACCAGCCAGTAGGTCTCGAATATCATTATTCAGACAATACATTTTTTTAAAAACTTTTGTTCTCACAATATAAGGCCCAAGAGTCAATGAAGGTAGAGGGTCACTGAATGAAACTGTCTTGTGAACCAAAGGGAAGGAATAAAAAGGAAAAAAATTATGAATATATATAGGATAGACAATGCTTGACTCTAAACGAAGTGTATGACGATAAATTACATCGGCAGCAAGGTGTTGAGGAGCATGGAACCACCTCACAATTGGTGTTTCCAGATCCACCTTGACCCTGGCAGATACACTAATTACTAACTTGATACTTTGACGTTAGTACTTTCTGTAATAACGTACAATACATTTTGTGAAAAAAGAATTCCTTTTTACTTTGGCGTGTGGTTGCGTCAAAAGCGATGGTGGAAGAAAATTGGTAAAAGTTGACGGAAACTTAAAACAACGAAAACTATATTAGTTTACTACTGTCTAATCTTCTGCCAAACTACAGAGACATTTTTTCAGCGTGACCGTGTTCCTTGCCACACATCCCGTGCAAGAAAAAGATTGCTTGTAGATGAACGTGTTCAACTTTTGTAATCCAGCTCAGTACAAAGTCCTGATCTCAAAATAACTGAACCTTTTTGGTAGGAAATGAAGAAACAAGTGCTCCAACGAAAATCACGCATTCTCCAAGAGCTCTGTGATTACTATCAAGAAGAATGGGAAAAAAAATCCCAATGAGAAAATAAAGACCTTGTTCCATTCAATGTCACATCGTACTGAGGCAATCTTGAACCAATGGCAGAAACATTAATTACTAAATTCATACTTTGACGTTTATGTCAAAATTCTTTATCATCCACCATGCAGCATTAATAAAAATGCAGTAACTTGTTTTCTTGCCCTCAAAGATCATAAAATGTGCAGAGAAAAGAATATTACTAATCAGTTTCGATTTTTGGGTAAAATTAACAAAAGTAAATAACCAAGGTAACGCGAAAGTTTTACAAAATTAGTTCATGACCAAAGTAAACCGTTTAATTAATTCGTTCCTTTATTACTACGGTTCTTAGATTGCGGTCGTATTTCTACAAGCCTTTCTTGCGAGGCACTTATATACATCTGTCCACTAAGTGATCTTGTTTCAAATTAGGCTTTATCGTTGCCATTTTTATCTAAAAAAATATAAAGGGAACTGATTAATGAAAGTTTTATTCGTATCTTATTTAATTCTGAACTCTGAATCTCAGCTATATTGAATCTAAATACATTCGAAACTTTTGCTTCAATGCATTTCAATATGAAAAAAAACTTTCTAACAATTGCCTTTATTTTTCAAGGTACGAATTCAATAGAAACTATAAAAAAAAATGGACAATTTCGCATCTCACATGGGTGAATCTCATAAGATCAGAAACTTAACAAAATATGTAATCGTTTTTATGACATTGTCATACTCGTAATAATAATGTTTACAAACCAAAGAAAATGTATTAAATACATTCATTGCCAGCAAAACCGTTGTTCTGGGAACAATTTCGAAGATCCTTGCGCAGAATTATTAGAGGATGAACTGAAAAAAAATTGGGCCACAAAAATCTTGGAGAATAGACCAGACTTGGTGTCATTTGAGGTTCAACGAAAAAATGATATGTAATAAGAATAAAGTTTAATTGGCCAAGGGGTCTTTTGTCTGTAGGCCTTCCGTAAAGCTTACCATTGATGTAAATACGAGCTGAAGCCAACAAAATTAATAACAATTATTTTTATAATTTAAAGCTCAAATATAAAAACGAAATTAGGTTTTCTGTTGCTGATCGTTTTTGATATTTAATCCATCTACGGATAAGCGGGAAGCAGACCTCTTGGAATCAACACCGATTTCATGCTGAGAAATTAGCAGAGGGAAATTTTGGCAGACCGTTTGGCACCGAAGTTCAGTGAGACTTCAAAGAGATTTTATTTGAAAATGCACACATATTTAGTCGCCTGTTTAAAACTGGACAGTTTGAATATCTAAACCTACATTCATGCAAACATACATGATGTAGGCGACCCAATTTCGAGTAATGCCATCACTTGCTTTATTCTTAAATATGTGCAACGCAGATGTGGCTATTTAGCCCTGCTGTGGTCTTACATCCTTTGGCGTAGATGTGACAAGGCAGGGCACCTCTTGCAGTAATTGAACTTTCAACGTCTTGCGTCTTCAATGATTATTTTAGGCTAGCCCCAAGAGAGACCTGACTACATTCAGTACACATGTTATGAAGTTGTATACCAATATTTTCAGGGAAATTAGAATCGTCCCTTACGAATATCTCTCTTGCTTTTGAAATACTTAACACGATTCTGTTCAAAGTTTGTCTTACCAGTGGACCCTGCTTTCCTCTAGAATGAACCAGCTAGATCTAGGTTTTGCATTATGTTTTTGCATGATTTTGAACTTTCTCAGTGTGTAAATTTTTAATTCATCATTTGTGACCTCATTTGCATTCAAAGAGCACTTTCTCTTTTTATGCAAATGTATTCAAAGATCGGAGAGTAGGAGTGGAACTTTATCAAGTACTTTTCCTTCTTAAAAGAACAGATTAATTGGTCTATTGATTCGTTTTCTATGTCTTACCAACCCTTTGCAAGTTATTTAAAGCCAGAAAATACTTTTTGATTGTAATAATAGTTTGCTGATACAAATCTTATTGATTAACCCATAGCTTGGGGATAAGAGGCGTATAGGAACATAATGAGATACACATACACACATAGATAGATAGATAGATAGATAGATAGATAGATAGATAGATAGATAGAAAACCAGACAGCGATAGATAGATAGACAGACAGACAGACAGGCAGATTGATGAAGAGACTGAAATTTATAAATAGGAACATAATGACATAGATAGATAGATAGATAGATAGATAGATAGATAGATAGATAGATAGATGTATGATTGGATGGATGGATGAACAAAATGAAAGATAGATAGATAGATAGATAGATAGATAGATAGATAGATAGATAGATAGATATGAACAGTTAGATTTTTTAAAGATCTATCTATCTATATTTCATTCTGTTCATCCATCTATCCAATCATACATCGATCTATCTATCTATCTATCTATCTATCTATCTATCTATCTATCTAGTTTGGATGCTGTCCAGGATATTTAGCGTTTTCGTCACTCTGCTGTGATGTGAGTTCGATCGTCTTTGTCAGCATTACTAATCTTAGTAAATATCCTTGCATGTAATTTTATGTTATTGGGAACGCAACGAAAACAGAAGCATTTGGAGAATATTCCACTTTCAGGTGATGTCTTTTGAATTCCTTTTCTCTAACGCGCTCGGCGGCGAGACCAGTCTGAACAGAACCTTATAAAAAGCACTTATCCTGGGCGAGATTCGGAAAGGGCGTAAGTCAACATACATGTATTTTGCATGTTTTTCCATTTTTGAAATGAGAAAACTGATATTCTGATACAAAGAGTTTTGGTGAAGTCAGGTCACAATTTTTTAGAAAATCATATTATGCATTTTTGTTCTTAAGGTATTTTTCTCATTTTAGAAAAAAAAATCACTTATGCTCTTTCGGAATATGCGTTCTACCAACTACCGCGCAAATATAACAAAAAGAAAAAAAAAGGTATTTTTTTTCATATGACCCTGAACTAAAAATCCAAATTCTCATTCTTTTATTTATATATTTGTGATGTAAGGATAAATTAATATTAATTCCCTTTAGAGTTAAAGTTTCCGTTTACTGAACCGACCGTGAAACTCATAAGAAATCTTAAAAAAAAAAAAAAAAAAAAAAAAGCGCCTGCAATTTATTCCCAAGGGTTTAACTTCTTGACTACAAACAAACCAAAAAGTACTTTTTACTAACGATAATTACAAAATGTCGGATTATTTACTCATTAAGATGAAAAACAATAAATATATAAATAAATGATTTCGATGTAAATTTTCTTCACAGTTCTCCCTCTACTCTAATGAAGAAACATGATTATTATTAAAAAAAACAAAAACAAAAAAAACAAAAACAAAAAAATCAAAAAAACAAAACAGAAAAAAAAACCCAAGTAGATTTGACATTTGGTTTTGGTACAAAAATGAATGTTTCTTTTGCTCTTTTCTACAATACCTTTTCCCCCTAATTTGTATTAAAACGAATTGCAATACATTTCCATTCCGCAGCACTTTCTTGATTATCCGTACTCTAATTTTCTGAACTTCGATTATCCGGCTGTGAAATGAAGATAAAACTGAAATCATCTGAACATTTTTCAAGTAAGAACTAAACCCATTCTAACCCATTTCATGTCAGACAAATGTTTTGAGAATTTAGACAACCCAAAGTCAACGTTTGATAAAAAAACAATGCACGCATCCTCTCTTTCGTTACTCTCAGCAATACTTTCTCCAAGCCTTCTTTCCACGCATCCCGTCCTTTGTTGCTCTCTGCAGTAATTGCTGCAAGGCTTCTTTCCGCGCATCCTGTCTTTCATTTCTCCCAGCAATACTTTCTCCAAGCCTTCTTTCCACCCTTCCTCTTTTTCTTTCGTCTCTGCAATACTTCTGCATAGAACTTCGTCCTGCATCCATTTGATCAAAGCGATCAAGTCACTTGCCGCTTTCCTTTGTTTCTGTTTCCTTCGATATATCCTGTGAGTTTGAAATTCTCATAGGATGCCTGCCTTATTAGATTTAACAGGTTTTGTATTTCTTATTGTACGCATTGCCGACATCAGAATCCAGCTGGCCCAAAATCCCAACATGGAGATAGTGTAACAGACATTCAGAAAAATTTCTTTCGCTATTTCTGTGTCTTTGAATATCCGACTTTTGAATTTTGACGTCCCCAGTGTGTAACTAACTTCTTGGGCTGTTCTTTTTGCTTACTACTCTGCACTCCCCTCTTCTTAAAAGTAACGTCCTTTTTTCTTCTTGCTTTTCCCATCTACTTTGTCTAACAGTTCTTTCAATTTTCTTTGTGCATTTTCCATTAATACAGTACTATCTACTAAGCGTGTAGTAACGAAAAGCCCGTTGGTGATAAATCCTAGTAGGTCTTCTGCGCTTCTTTGCATCATCTCGTTGTACAGATTGAATAGTTACAGTAGCTCAACTAGGTCTTGCCGTGCCGTGCCACGTACACGGGGTTGAATCATCCTCATTCCTTTCGTATTCCATTTGTAAAGAGGAAGTTCCACTCAGACAACTTCTTCCCGGGTACTGCCACTCTGTGGAAAGCCATTTAAGTGGATGCTTCTAGGGCCGCTACAATCTTAATGTCTTCAAGTCTAGGACTAACTAAACGTTGTCTTTCTTTTTATGTGCCATGTCCTTTCGGGGCATAGGTGATTATGATTCTCCACCTCCCTTGCATCTCTAAGCAAGTTCCTTCCCTCTGCTTCCTCCCCCAGAACACGTTCTATCATCCACCTGCTCAAACTCATCAGATATGTCACGCACTGCTTTCCCTTGTCTCTCTTTGCCTCTGTTCGACCCGTGAATACCCGATTCTCCAAGCCCTTCTTGCTCATTATATGTCCCAGAAACTTTAGATCCTATATATCCTCAGAATCTACACTTAACTTCAGTGGCTCTTGGGTCTTTTAGTGGATGAATATTTAGAAAAGATTTTTTTTGTTTTCGTGTATTCACTTATAGTATTTTTCGTATGCTAAGACACTACAAAGGGTCAGACGGTCCCTATAATTAGGTAGTTATTTGAGGATTTAATATCTCATTTCATAAATAATTTATATCTTTTCTAGCACTTCCCTAGCACGGTCCCTATAATTAGGTAGTTATTTGAGGATTTAATATCTCATTTCATAAATAATTTATATCTTTTCTAGCACTTCCCTAGCACGGTCCCTATAATTAGGTAGTTATTTGAGGATTTAATATCTCATTTCATAAATAATTTATATCTTTTCTAGCACTTCCCTAGCACGGTCCCTATAATTAGGTAGTTATTTGAGGATTTAATATCTCATTTCATAAATAATTTATATCTTTTCTAGCTCTTATCTTTGTAATGCTAGTATTTTATCCCTTGTATTTCTCTCGCACCTTCTATATAATCCAGGTTTTCAAATTGTTCTGTTTCATAATAGTACACAAAGTGCAGTAATAAGACTGGTTTTCTTTTCGCAAAACACTATAATTCTTAAAATGTGTGTGTGTGATCAGATGTTGCTTAAGCATTTCCATAGTTTTCATCCGATTTCGGTGAAATTTTTCGGTTTGATAGGGCACCCCCTATTCAAAGTGTTAACTCCTATTTGGGGATGTGCCTCAGTTGCACCCAAATGTTGTTACTAATGTTGATTTTGAGGTGAGCCGACTTTAAACTTAAACTGCTCCAACTGAACGGCAAAAATTCCCAGTGAAATACCTGATCGAAGACGGTTTATGCTGCTAATATGGTAATAGGAATGATAACTGTAGGCTTATTAATTTATTTATTTTAAGCTTTTCACCCCAAGCAAGTTTGGAGTGCCACTAGCACGCAAGGGGTTACAGAGAGTGGGAGCAAGAGTAAAGAGATGTGAAAGAGGAAAAGGATGAAGAGAAGGACGGAGAATAGATCAAAGTATCTGGAGATGTCGATTGATATTGCATTTGAATAGTTGGAGGTTATAGCTATCAGGGAAGCAAGTAAGAGAAAGGGAGTTCCAAAGACAGGAAGTGCGAGACTGAAGGTGTTGGAGTAGAAGAGACGACTATGTTTAACTGTTTCGACAGTGAAAGGATGAGACTGAATTGCCGACTTTGTGGTACGTTTAAATTCATGCAGTTTGGGAACGAGCGAAAATAGTTACCGTGAAAGTATTTGTAGAAAAGACAGAGGGAGGCGACAGCACGTCTATCTGAGGTCGACTGTAAACGAGATGCCAGCTCAGGGCCAACAACATTGCATATCCGTCTCTGGATTTTGTTGAGGACCCCAAGACGAACAGCGGGGACTTCCGACCATATATAACAGCAATATTCCATGCAAGGGCGAATGGTTGACTTATAGATTTAAGGGATGGACTAGGGCGAGAAAAACTTTCTGGCGGGATATAGAGAACCAACTTTCCTTGCAGTAGATGAAGCTATTGATTCAATGTAATTGTTCCATCTCAGGTCAGCGGACAGTGTGAGACCAAACAGTCGTAAAGAGGTGCTCTCGTGGAGTTGAGCATCAGTTTATAATATGTTTTTGTTTTGTTCTGTTTTACGGCATATCAACCTCAATGGGTTATTTAATGCAGACAAGATTTTTTATTGCTGCTAACGTTTTTTTCTTCAAAAATGTATTGCTGGTAAAAAATTTTTCCTTCAAAATTTTATTGCTGGTATTAAAACCTTTTTTTTTACGCATTCATAGTGTTTTGATCCCAGTTTGGGGTTAACTATTTGCCCATATCTAGGAACCTAACAGGTGCTGCCACCTCGGGTTAGCAATTAAAAGGTGGTTCCACGCTCGTCAAAACCTCAGAGGTCTTCTGTCGAATGTAGTTTCTCGTCATACCCAGGACGGTTATATTATATGTCTGTGGTTCCTGATTGCTTGTATCTCGTGACTGGGGATCGTGAGAGTTGGAAAATTCTCTCTACGACAAAGCCCTTCAGTGCTAAGTCGTAGATGGATTTTTAGCAGGAAAAAATGCGTCTTAGCATACGGGTAATGCCGTAATTCATTGTCTATTCACAGAAATGAATTATAAGCTGGATTGTCAAATCAGCATTTGTAGGATATACTCAACAATGCGGATATATCGACTGGAATACTTATGTTATAATTAGGCAATCTTCTATTATGAAAATCATGTTTTCTCTCTTCAACATAAAGAGAAAATTACTTTTCTACAAAAATGTCCTAATGCTACACATTATTTGAGTAAAATCGATTTTTTAAAAAATTCATAGGAAAATAAAAAAAATATACAGTATGTCAAGGCAGGTAATCCTTGCAAAACATCGCAATCCTATTTGATAGTGCTACTAATATTATGCTGACTAGAAGCTCAGCGAACTAAGCTTATTAAATAGCAATATAACCTTTTCTTTCTTTTACAATTATGTTAACCCTGTCTATATCTTTGAGATGATGTATTATGGTTACTTGCTTTATTTTATAATTCGAACTGTTATCCTAATCTCCATTGCCATATTCACAAGGACACATGGCCCAGTGGATAAAGACGTTGTTTAGATCCAGTGATTAGCTTCTAGCGATATAATGGCTGTTTATATCTCTAAGATTAGGTATTATGATTACTTACATTATTCGGACTGTTATCCTCATCTTCATTGCCATATTCTCAAGGACACGTGACCCAATGGATAAAGACGTTGGTTAGATCCAGTGACTAGCTTCTAGTGATATAATGGCTGTCTATATCTCTGAGATGAGTTATTATGATTATTTACATTATTTACATTATTCAGACTGTTATCCTCATCTTCATTGCCATATTCACAAGGACACATGGCCCAGTGGATAAAGACGTTGGTTGGATCCAGGGACAAGCTTCTAGTGATATAATGGCTGTCTATATCTCTGAGATGAGGTATTATGATTATTTACATTATTTACATTATTCAGACTGTTATCCTCATCTTCATTGCCATATTCACAAGGACACATGAGCCAATGGATAAAGACGTTGGTTAGATCTAGTGACTAGCTTCTAGTGATATAATGGCTGTCTATCTCTCTGAGATGAGGTATTATGATTGTTTACATTATTTACATTATTCGGACTGGTATTGAACTCGCAACTCTCTGGGTCTAGTCACTGGATCTAATCAACGTCTTTATCCACTAGGCCATGTATCCTCGAGGACTTATGGCCCAGTGTCTATTCGAAATTCCAATCACCTGAAGAAGGCCGGAACGTACAATGGCCGAAAGGTTGTGAATATGGCAATGAAGATGAGGATAATAGTCCGAATAATGCAAATAATGCAAATGTTCACTCTGTACAAGGCCCAGGGTCACTAGTGGTAGAGGGTTATAAAGTGTCGCAGTTTATGAAAATATTTAGAGAAGATAACGGTTAACGCTAGACTTGAAAAGGTTAAGACTGTTGTGATCAGGGAAGCTATTCTCTTGCTGATTTGGTTCGACAAAGCAACGGTTCGTGGGAAGAAGCTCCTTGGGTAGAACTTACATCACACCAATGGAATACGAATGGAGGGATTGCAGTTCTCTACAATGTGCGTGTAAGTTAGAACTTGTGTAACTAAAGAATGAAATTTATCTGAACACTTTTCATAGACATAGCGGTTATAGCACCAAGAGGCTTGCAACGTTCCGTCTGTAAGAAAGAGGTTTTAGGGTGGAAAATAATTCATCACCCACAAGGACGTGGAGATGCTTTAGGACTCTATCGAGACTAGAAAGTGAGGACTGGGCAGCACCTGACCTTATATAGCAGCAGTACTCTATTTTCGGCTTAATCTGGCTCTCCTAAAGGGTAGAGGATACCATGAG